CATCCTCCTCATCCGGGTCATAGCCATGAGGTAGAATCAGCAATGCCTCTTCGGTCCCTAGCTGCTGCTCTGCTGCATCAGTTCCTGCAGTCAGCTTCTTAGTAGCCATACGGGTACGTCCTGGCCTGGAGACGGGTGTCTCCCATCCCTTCATAACGACACCCTTCGGCTTCTTAGTTTTTTCCTGCTGCTTCTCTCCTCCCTCGGGTCCAGCAGCTCCACTAGTGCTGCCGCCAGTTTCCACACCATTTTCTCCACCAGCAGATGCCTCCTGTACCTTCTCTCCATCACCATTTCCAGCAGCTGCCTCCTCTCCCTCCTCCCACACACTAGGAGTCAGGTCCAGCTGCATGGTGATCTGCTCCATCTGCTGGGACACCCTTGCCTCCGGCTGTTTCTCCCAGCTCCCATACATCATGCCCTCAATGAATTTCACATCCCTGCTGTCAAACAACACACCCTTGGATGGTTCCCACAGCAGCCATCCCTTACTCTCAGCAGCCAGCCCCAAATGCACACACCAGATTGCACTCGCCCCCAACTTACTGCGGTAGGTCTTGGGGACGTGGGCGACTGCCATGCAACCGAACACCCTCAGCATGTCCACCGGCGGCTTCCTCCCAAGCCACCTCTCCAACGGCACCCACGAGTCATCCCCAACCTTGGTGAGCACCCTGTTCCTAGCGACAGTGGCGTGCCGGACAGCATGAGGCCACATAGAATTGCTCAGCCCAGATTCTATGAGCAGCGCCCTAGCTGTCTCCAGAATGGTCCGGTTTGCCCGTTCTGCTACACCATTGGACTGTGGGGTATAAGCCGTGGTCAGCTCTCTCTGGATGCCCTGCTTCTTGAGCCAGGCCGTCATTTCAGCTCCAAGGAACTCACCACCCCGGTCTGTCCTAATCCGCTTCACTACACACTCCGCCTGCTTCTCCACGAATGGCAGCCAATCGTCCCGTATCGTGGAGGCGGCGTGGTCCTTCTGCTTCAGCGGATACGCCCACATCAGCCTGCTCCAGTCATCCACAATTGTAAGAAAATACCGCTCCCCCTTGTGCCCTTGCACCGGCAGCGGCCCCACCAAGTCCATGTGGACCAGCTCCAAAGGCTTCTTGCTCCTGCCAGCCACACTATGGAAAGGGAAACGGGTGAACTTTGAAAGCAAACAGATTTCACAGTTGTCATCGGGTGGCTGTCCGTTCAGCTTCAGACCCTTAACGGCTCCATCCTTCTCCAGCTGCTTCAGCAAAGGCATTGCCACATGCCCTAAGCGCCGGTGTGCCGTTGCCCAATCTGTCTCCCCAGATCTGGCCGACACTTTCACACCAACCCCTCCAACGGCATTGCACTCCCCCTGGGATGCAGACCCCTCTCCAGCCTGCCCCCCACCATGCCACGCCAGGGCCGGCAGCTGCCACATAGATCTGTACACGTCCTTGCTCTCGTGCAGATCCCAAAGCACCCGATTGCCCAGCTTCCCCTTATAAGTGCGTGCCCCATCCGTGTTGGTGTTCACCCCAGCCTTGCCAAGCTTACGGAGGGAGATAAGGTTGGCCTTCAGGTCGGGGACGAAGAGAACGTCGTGCAGCACCACCGGCTTGCCATCCGCTCCCTTAAACGCAGCTCGTCCCGCACCAGCCACCTTCAACATGTGTCCAGAGGCGGAGCACACTTCATTGATCGGTGCAGCTCGTACTTCGTCCAGCAGGTCCTTGCGCGGCGTCATCGTCCAAGCAGCGCCTGTGTCCAACACCCAATAGTCTAGGGGGTGCAGCTCTGCTCCAACTTTGGCAGAGGCGTCTCCTTGCTCCCCCTTGTCTCCCACATGGAAGAATTGGCCCGCGGTGCGCTCCTTCTTCTTCTCCGCACCGCCGTTGCCCTTCGGGTTGTTGTCGGACGAATCAGCGACCATGTTGGCGCCGTTTTTCTGGTTCCTCCGCGCGCCGCCATCCTGGTGACGATTCTGGGGGGTCCATCCATCGGGTTTCTTATAGCACAAAAACCAGGGGTGCCCTTCCTTCTCACAATACCAGCAACTCCCTTTCATTTTGCCACCAGCACCCGACTTGCCCCCACGTCCAGATTTCGCACCGCGACCCCAACCGGTACCTCGTTGTTGGTCGTTGGAGTCGTCGTCTTTCTTTGCACCGCGTCCAGCACCACCGAAGCCACGTCCTCTGCCACGTCGGCTCCCTTGCATCCCGTAGCCGCTGCTGCCGTCGTCTCCACCCCTCAGTTGGCGGCGACGGAAGTCCTCCTCCAGAATCTTCGTCCGCACCCACTCGAGCGTCCACAAGCTCTGGTTCTGCGGCAGGCTCAATCCGCTCGTAAATTGAAGCCACGATTCTGGCAGCAGCGAGAGCATCTTCAAGCACTTGGTCTGCTCCGGGTAGGTGATTCCCGCGGTCGCCAACTTCGCGTAGAGGTCGCGCATCTTGTCCAGGACTGGTTGCACCGGCTCTCCCTCGCTCAGGCGCAACGCGGACAGCTCCCTCTCCAGCATCAACGTTGCGACAACGGAGGTCGGGGCGTGCAGCTCCTTCAACACGGTCCACGCCTTCGGACCGCATTCAACCTCCGGCAGCAGGTGCATGACGTGGTGACACTGGTTCAGCTCCAAACTCTGCGACATCAAATAGTAGCCAGCCGAGGAGCGCTCGTCCCAATCTTCCTGCAGCGTGGGGTCACTCGGTCTAGGCTCCTCCCCAATCATTAGTTTCAGCAAACCGATCTGACGGAAATATAATTGCATTTTCCAGGCCCAATCATCATAGCCCTCACCATTGAACTTCTCGACGGTGAAATTCTTCAGCACCTCCTTGACAAGCGAGCCCTGGTTTGTTCGCGCTCCCCTTGGCGCTGAAAGACCAGAATCTTGGCTGCCGCTACGATCTTGGGCTGAAGATTCACCAGCTCCCGCCGAGGTGTTGCCCGCCATAGCTACCTATAACGAGGATCACTATAACGCAGCTCTGATACCAGCTTGTTGGTGTAAGGGCCTAATAAACTCAAGCTATTAGGACTTAATCAAACTTAAAACCTCTCCTCGGGGTCACCTCCAAGGGTCCCTGGGTGCCTGGTACAAGACCAGCCCCTATCCTCGGGTCCGAGTTTGTAGAGAGAGGGATCAAGAAGGACTTAGTCAAAACAGCAAGAGCACCTTGAACGTCGCGCAGCGTGCCGTGCAGACCGTCGATTGGATTAAGCTGAGAATTCGCTATATCGAAGCTCGCTCCAAGAGCTTTAAAATGAGCCAAGTTGCCTCGCGAAAAGTTCTGCCATTACGAAGTTATGGCTCAGACGGTGTTTGCCTAGCATTAGAGTGCTAGCGTACTAGCGTTGACTCGGGTAGCATTCCGCCAACGAACCGCGTAGAAACGAAATTCCAGCGAGGAAGGAATTCGCATGAATCAATTGACTATATTCAGGTACAAACAGAGAAGGATTAAATAGTTCTAGCTAGCAAGGACCTTGGGAATCAACCTGGGAACAACCAGGGATGATCCCAAATAATTCCAAGCAACAGAACCAACCTGGCTGGACAAAATAGCAGGTGGTAGGTTGGTAAACAACCTCTGGTTCTGTTTTTCCAACCTGGGAAAACAACAACCAGGTTCAGGTTCTAAAAACAGAACCTGTTTTGTCTTTGCCCAACCAGCCAAATGCTGGTTCCGCTGGTTTCCCCTGGCCTTGTAGCATGCAGATACAGACAAACAACATCCAACCTTCACCTAAATTGTACCCCTATAGTGCCTTCCCTGCTACACTATAGTTAACCAAACAAAACAGTACAATTTCGAGTTGGATAGAACTGAATCTGCGCAATCAACTCAACCGAACTGCAAAGCTTCCATCTTGGGTTCCTTTGCGAGCTCGTCCTTTCTGCTTGCACTGTTCATAGCGCGTACAATGTTGTGCCGAAGCGCACATTGCGCGAGTACCTGCAAATGCATCAAGCGAAAATGCGAAAGCAAACAAACACACGAACACACCATTCATACGCAAATGCATTCGCACACGCATACTCGTACAAACAGACGGCAGGATGTCGTGCAATGTGCATTTGCACCCAACAGAAACGTCGGCACAAGGCCCAACAAAGTACAAAAGCGCTGATGATCACCAGACGGAAGTGCCTTGGTGAATATATCAGCAGTGTTGGCCCGAGTGTCCACGTGACGGAGACGAAGCTGGCCTCGCTGCTGCAACTCTCGAGCCAGGAAGTAACGCAGAGCAATGTGCTTCGTTCTATGCTCCAGTCTGTGCTCCTCACACAAGGCAATGGCGGCCTTGTTGTCGACGTACAGTACTGGAGGAGAACGAGGCCACTCTCCCAAGTCGGTCAGCAGGTAGGTGAGCCAGCGCAACTCCTGTGCAGCCATGGCTGTGACGTAGATCTCAGCCTCACAACTGGAGCTGAGAACTGAAGACGAGCGAGTAGAACGCCAAGAAACTGAACCAGAGCCAAGGCTGAAGTCTTGAATTGCCAAAAACTTAACCCTGTGACGACCGCTGAGTAGCCTGGTCGTCAACCCAAGAAGCGTCTGAGTGCCCAGTGAGAACAACTGGGCTCTTCCCACCAAGCACTAGCCCCATGCCTGATGTACTGCACAAGTAGCGCAGTACCCTCTTAGCAGCAGCCATGTGCTCAGGTCGGTGCCGACCAGGAGCCACATAGCGAGCCAGAAGGCCAAGAGGGTACGCGAGGTCAGGACGAGTGCAGGTCATCAGGTACATGAGACAGCCAACTAGCTCTGGGTAACGACCACTCGGCTCTACGGACTCGTCCGAAGGTGGAGCTGAGAGCGAGTGACCTGTCGCCAGAGGAGTGGCCTGTGCTGAGGACCAGGTGAAGCCGAAGCGCTGAAGGACCTGCTGCACCATGTGTGACTGAGTCAGTGTGATGGTGCGGTGTGCTCTGTCCCGGGTGATCTGCAAGCCAAGGTAACTGCGCAGCTCACCCAGGTCTGTGCACGTGTGTCTCTTCTGCAGCTCGGACTTCACCAGGGCAAGAGCCTCAGTGTCAGCAGTGGCAAAGACCAATCGTCGAGGTACACGAGGATGCAGAACGGCGGCAGCAAAGTGTCGGTGCGCAGAAACAGCAACGGGTCAGCAGTCAAAGGAGCGAACCCAAGAGCCGCAAGTGTAGTCCTCAGTGTATCGTGCCACTCACGAGGCGCCTGGCGGAGACCGTAGACTGGCCGCCGGAGGCTCCACTGGGTACCAGGAGGGAACGCCCCAGTGAAGCCAGGAGGGCGGCGCAGCCAGATCTCCTCGTGCAGGCTGCCTTGTAAGAAGGCTGTGCTGAAGTCAAGAGAGTGAAGCTCGTAGTCACGCTGAGCGGCAACGTGCAGCAGCACCCGAAGAGTAGTCATCTTCGGGGTAGGGGAGAAGGTCTGGAATAAGTGGACTCCCTCTCGCTGACTGAATCCTCTAGCAACGTAACGAGCCTTGAAGACAGGCGGAGAACCTGGCGGCCGCTTCACCCTGAAAATCCACATGCCATCGACGATGTTCGCCCCAGGAGGGGGAACCTCATCGACGTAAGTGCCAGTGGACTTCCAGGATGCCATCTCTGCGTCCATGGCTGTCTGCCACTGAGAGGAGTACTCACCCGCGATCGCCTCAGCGTAAGAGCGCGGGGTCGGGATGTCTGGTGCATCCGGGTCTCCCTTAGGGGCAAGCAGCATGGCCACGAGATGGGGCGCAGCGGCTGCGAGACACTCAAGGTCCTCCTGCCTGTCCTCAAGAACGTCCGTGCCAAGAGCACACTCACCCCCGACGGACGGAGGACAGACAGACTCAGCAACAAGACTGGCAGCAAAGTCTAGACGACAAGCAGCAGCAAAGTCAACAAGCTCAGCGACCAGGGCAGACGCAGCAGCAGACTCAAACGACGGGTCAGTGACGACAGTGGCGAGCAGACGCGTAACTGTAGGGTGCTCAGCACGAAACCGGTCAGACGCAGGGTCCGGAACGATAGGCAGAGAGGACGCAGGGGGAGACGGCAGAGGAACAGACTGCAGAGCAGAGGAAGGACGACGGACAACAAGGTGTGTGCCGGGGACAGTCGGCTGACGTGAACGAGAAACACGACGACCAGTACGACCAGAACGAACAGGCGAGACTGGACGCGACGCAGGCTCACGACGCTCAGCAAGACTACCTGTCTGCTCAGTGTAAGGAGAGGGAGCAGGCAGCGGTGAGCCAGGCTGTAGCGGAAGACCAGTAGACGACGGGAGAGTAACAACCTGACGAAGAGCAGAGTCAGGCGGCGGCAGAGACGACGGAGACCTCGGAGCGAAGAACAGTCGCGTCGGTGCAGCTGCACCAGCACCAGCAGCTCCAGCAGCTCCAGCACCTCCAGCAGCTCCAGCGCCTCCAGCAGCTCCAGCACCTCCAGCAGCCCCAGGGTCTCCAGCAACTCCAGCAGCTCCAGCTCCAGGAGCTCCAGCAGCTCCAGTCGCAGAACCGGTACCCCCAGCAGCAGCACCACCAGAACCAACGTCACCAGCAGCAGCACCCCCAGAATCGGCACCTCCAGTCCCAGGGTCTCCAACCTCAGGGTCTCCCACAGCACCACCCCCAGAACCAGCACCTCTAGTCCCAGGGTCTCCAGCCTCAGTGTCTCCAGCAACGGCACCTCCAGGCGCAGCACCCCCAGCCCCAGTAGCTCCAGTACCTCCAGCAGCAGAGCCCCGGGCTCCAGCAGCGCGACGCTGACGGCGACCGTACCAGTCGTGCAGCTGCTGAGTGGTGAGAGGCACACGCGGACGAAGGCGACCACTTCAAGTAGGCCGCGCACCAGCAGTCCCAGTACCCTCAAGCGTCTCACCTCCAGACTCAGCACCCCCAGACTCCGTACACACAGGCTCAGTACCCCCAGACACAGCACCTCCAGTAGCACCACCCCCAACAGCACCAGAGTCAACAGGAACCGGCTGCAGAGGCGGTGAAGAAGGTCGCGGAGGGAACCCCGGAGGGGTCTCCAAGCGTGGTGCGCGGCGGTAGGCCGCCGGGGCGTCAGCAGCAACGTCACCCCCCTCAGGTGAGCCAGAGGTGTCGGAAGTGACCTCCAAAGGCTCAGCCAAGGGGGGGGGGTCTACCTGAGACACACCTGAAGGAGCAGGACCCTGAGGGGGGAGGGGGTCTACCGGGGGGGGACCTGGCGTAAGGAAGAGCGGCGGGGGAGGGAGGGGGGCAGCGCGGTAGGGGAAGAGACGGTAGTACGGAACCGACTCGTCAAACGTGACGTCCTGGGAGGACAGAACACGGCGCAAGGTGGGGTGGTAAAACTGCCAACCAGGCGCGTCAGGGGGGAAGCCAAGGAAGACACAGGGAACTGCACGGGAGGACAACTTGTCCGTAGACAAGTCTCGGACAAAATCCAGAGATCCCCAGACACGAAACGCAGACGCATCGCCAACCTGCCCTGTCCACCTCAGAGTGGGGGAGGTGTCGGGCATGGAGACCCGGGGCTGAAGGTTGATCTGATGCGCCGCGTACTGAACCGCAAACGGCCACAGAAAATGGGGAGCAGCCGCATGGATCATGGACGTGCGAGCGACATCCATGACCATGCCAATGCGGCGCTTAGCAATCCCATTTTGCTGCGGAGAGGCCGGAAGCGTGAATGTCTGGCGGATGCCCCTCGCACGACAGAAGGCTCGTAGAGGGCCGGAGGAGAACTCTCCGCCTCTGTCAGAGTGCAGACGCAGAACAGGAAAGTCCGAGCCGAAACTCTTCCTGAGCTGGAGACGAGCAGCGCGGATCCAGTCGATCAACACCTCAGTGACCTCATCCTTGCGGCGCAAGGGGAAGACTGTGGTGTAACGCGAGTAGTCGTCAACCACCAGCAGGAAGTAGCGCTCGTGACCCTGTCCACGGACGCGGGCTGGGCCCCACACGTCCATGTGAAGAGTCTGTAGCGGAGCCTCTGTCGGCGGAAACTCGGAGGAGTGAGGAGCGGCGCGCTGCCTCGACGCAGGGAACGCAGGTAGGGGCAGGCCCCGGAGGGAGGGGAGGGAGGGACCGGGGGAGACCAGAGACCAGGACACGAGAGGCCATGCCTCGAAGACGAGGCAGGGAGGGGTGACCAAGACGGTGGTGCCAGAGAAGAGTCTCGTGGGACAGGAGGCGACAGGACAGGGGGCAGACTCAGGACCAGTCCGAGACGCTGCAGCGAACACCTGACCCGACGCAGCTACCGGTTTGGTCCTGAGTCTGCCCCCTGCTCGTGTCGCCTCCTGTCGCAAGAGACTCTTCTATGGCACCACCGTCTTGGTCACCCCTCCCTGCCTCGTCTCCGAGGCATGGCCTCTCGTGTCCTGGTCTCTGGTCTCCCCCGGTCTCTCCCTCCCCTCCCTCCGGGGCCTGCCCCTACCTGCGTTCCCTGCGTCGAGGGGCGGCAGCGCGCCGCTCCTCACTCCTCCGAGTTTCCGCCGACAGAGGCTCCGCTGCAGACTCTTCACATGGACGTGTGGGGCCCAGCCCGCGTCCGTGGACAGGGTCACGAGCGCTACTTCCTGCTGGTGGTTGACGACTACTCGCGTTACACCACAGTCTTCCCCTTGCGCCGCAAGGATGAGGTCACTGAGGTGTTGATCGACTGGATCCGCGCTGCTCGTCTCCAGCTCAGGAAGAGTTTCGGCTCGGACTTTCCTGTTCTGCGTCTGCACTCTGACAGAGGCGGAGAGTTCTCCTCCGGCCCTCTACGAGCCTTCTGTCATGCGAGGGGCATCCGCCAGACGTTCACGCTTCCGGCCTCTCCGCAGCAAAATGGGATTGCTAAGCGCCGCATTGGCATGGTCATGGATGTCGCTCGCACGTCCATGATCCATGCGGCTGCTCCCCATTTTCTGTGGCCGTTTGCAGTTCAGTACGCGGCGCATCAGATCAACCTTCAGCCCCGGGTCTCCATGCCCGACACCTCCCCCACTCTGAGGTGGACAGGGCAGGTTGGCGATGCGTCTGCGTTTCGTGTCTGGGGATCTCTGGATTTTGTCCGAGACTTGTCTACGAACAAGTTGTCCTCCCGTGCAGTTCCCTGCGTCTTCCTTGGCTTCCCCCCTGACGCGCCTGGTTGGCAGTTTTACCACCCCACCTCGCGCCGTGTTCTGTCCTCCCAGGACGTCACGTTTGACGAGTCGGTTCCGTACTACCGTCTCTTCCCCTACCGCGCTGTCCCCCTACCTCCCCCGCCGCTCTTCCTTGCGCCAGGTCCCCCCCCGGTAGACCCCCTCCCCCCTCAGGGTCCTGCTCCTTCAGGTGTGTCTCAGGTAGACCCCCCCCCCTTGGCTGAGCCTTTGGAGGTCACTTCCGACACCTCTGGCTCACCTGAGGGGGGTGACGTTGCTGCTGACGCCCCGGCGGCCTACCGCCTCGCGCCACGCTTGGAGACCCCTCGGGGGTTCCCTCCGCGACCTTCTTCGCCGCCTCTGCAGCCGGTTACTGTTGGTTCTCGTGCTGTTGGGGGTGGTGCTCCTGGAGGTGCTGCGTCTTGCGGTGCGGAGTCTGGGGGTGCTAAGCCTGCGCGTGAAGAGCTTGGAGGTCCTACGCCTGTGGGTGCTGTGTCTGGGGGTACTGAGCCTGTGTGTGCGGAGTCTGGGGGTGCTGAGTCTGGAGGTGAGACGCTTGAGGGTACTGGGACTGCTGGTGCGCGGCCTACTTGGAGTGGCCGCCTTCGTCCGCGTGTGCCCCTCACCACTCAGCAGCTGCACGACTGGTACGGTCGCCGTCAGGGTCGCGCTGCTGGAGCCCGGGGCTCTGCTGCTGGAGGTACTGGAGCTGCTGGGGCTGGGGGTGCTGCGCCTGGAGGTGCTGCTGTGGGAGACGCTGCGGTAGGAGATCCTGGGACTGGAGGTGCTGGTTCTGGGGGTGCTACTGCGGGAGACACTGCGGATGGAGACCCTGGGACCGGAGGTGCTGGTTCTGGGGGTGCTGCTGCGGGAGACACTGCGGTTGGAGACCCTGGGACTGCAGGTGCCGGTTCTGGGGGTGCTGCTGCTGGTGACGCTGGTTCTGGAGCTGCTGGCGCTGGAGGTACCGGTTCTGAGGCTGGAGCTTCTGGAGCTGCTGGAGGCACTGGAGCTGCTGGAGGTGCTGGAGGTGCTGGAGCTGCTGCAGCTGTTAGAGCTGCTGGAGCTGCCGGAGCTGGTGCAGCTGCGCCGACACGACTGTTCTTCGCTCCGCCGTCTCCGTTGTTGCTGCCGCCGCCTGACTCTGTTCTTCGTCAGGTTCTTACTCTCCCGTCGTCCACTGGTCTTCCGTTACCGCCTGGCTCACCGCTGCCTGCTCCTTCCCCTTACACTGAGCAGACAGGTAGTCTTGCTGAGCGTTGTGAGCCTGCGTCGCGTCCTGTCTCGCCTGTTTGTTCTGGTCTACATACCGGTAGTCGTGTCGCTCGTGCACGTCAGCCGGTTGTCCCCAGCGCCCACCTTGTTGTCTGTCGTCCTTCCTCTGCTCCGCAGTCTGCTCCTCTGCCGTCCCCCCCTGCGTCCTCTCTGCCTGCCGTTCCGGACCCTGAGTCTGACCGGTTTCGTGCTGAGCACCCTACTGTCACGCATCTGTTAGCCACTGTTGTCACTGACCCGTCGTTTGAGTCTACTACTGCGTCTGCCTTAATTACTGAGCTTGTTGACTTTGCTGCTGTCTGTCGTCTAGACTACGCCACTAGTCTTGTTGCTGAGTCTGAGTCTGTCTGTCCTCCGTCCGTTGGGGGTGAGTGTGCTCTTAGCACGGACGTCCTTGAGGACAGGCAGGAGGAGTTCCAGTGTCTTGCTGCTGCTTTACCTCATCTCAATCCCATACTTCTCCCCCAGCTCCTTGATGAACTTCTCCTGGTGCAGCTTCAACCACCTGTGATCTGGATCCCTCTCCACGTGCATCCCGAGGTAGTACTTTACCTCCCCAAGGTTCTTGCACTTGAAGTTTTCCATCAGTTGCTGCTGCACTTTCTGGATCTCCTTCATGCTGCTGCTGAAGAGAAGAATGTCGTCCACATAGACCAGAAACAGCACCAGCTTCTCCCCCTCGCCCTTGAGAAAGAGGCTCTCATCACAGCTGCTGGTCCTGAATCCCATCTCCTCTAAAACAGCTGCCAACTTCTGGTACCAGCAGCGTGGCGCCTGCTTCAAGCCGTAGATGGACTTGTTGAGCTTGCACACCCTGCCCGTACCATCCTCATACCCAGGCGGCTGCGTCATGTACACATCCTCCTCTAAAATCCCATTCAGGAATGCCGTTGAAATATCCATCTGAATGATGAATTTCCCACTAACAGCTGCATCTGCCAACAAGACACGGAGGGTAGGGGGTTTGGCAGTGGGAGCAAAGATCTCGTTGAAGTCCTGCTTCTCCTTCTGCATAAACCCCTTCGCCACCAGCCTACTCTTGTAGATGGTGACCTGCCCCTTGTCATCGGTCTTGATCCTCAGCACCCACTTGCATTGTATCGCTTTCTTCCCATCAGGCAGCACCACCAGATCCCATGTCCTATTCTCCAGCAGACTCTGGTACTCTGCATCCCTAGAAGCCAGCCACTTGTCCCTATCTGGTCCAGCTAATGCCTCCTCCATGCTAGCTGGTTCCTCTGGTGCAGGGGCAAGAAAACAGTACGCAGGCTCATCCTCCTCATCCGGGTCATAGCCATGAGGTAGAATCAGCAATGCCTCTTCGGTCCCTAGCTGCTGCTCTGCTGCATCAGTTCCTGCAGTCAGCTTCTTAGTAGCCATACGGGTACGTCCTGGCCTGGAGACGGGTGTCTCCCATCCCTTCATAACGACACCCTTCGGCTTCTTAGTTTTTCCCTGCTGCTTCTCTCCTCCCTCGGGTCCAGCAGCTCCACTAGTGCTGCCGCCAGTTTCCACACCATTTTCTCCACCAGCAGATGCCTCCTGTACCTTCTCTCCATCACCATTTCCAGCAGCTGCCTCCTCTCCCTCCTCCCACACACTAGGAGTCAGGTCCAGCTGCATGGTGATCTGCTCCATCTGCTGGGACACCCTTGCCTCCGGCTGTTTCTCCCAGCTCCCATACATCATGCCCTCAATGAATTTCACATCCCTGCTGTCAAACAACACACCCTTGGATGGTTCCCACAGCAGCCATCCCTTGCTCTCAGCAGCCAGCCCCAAATGCACACACCAGATTGCACTCGCCCCCAACTTACTGCGGTAGGTCTTGGGGACGTGGGCGACTGCCATGCAACCGAACACCCTCAGCATGTCCACCGGCGGCTTCCTCCCAAGCCACCTCTCCAAAGGCACCCACGAGTCATCCCCAACCTTGGTGAGCACCCTGTTCCTAGCGACAGTGGCGTGCCGGACAGCATGAGGCCACATAGAATTGCTCAGCCCAGATTCTATGAGCAGCGCCCTAGCTGTCTCCAGAATGGTCCGGTTTGCCCGTTCTGCTACACCATTGGACTGTGGGGTATAAGCCGTGGTCAGCTCTCTCTGGATGCCCTGCTTCTTGAGCCAGGCCGTCATTTCAGCTCCAAGGAACTCACCACCCCGGTCTGTCCTAATCCGCTTCACTACACACTCCGCCTGCTTCTCCACGAATGGCAGCCAATCGTCCC